AAAAACAACAAAACAAAAAAAATAAAACAAAAAAAAAAAAAAAAAAAAAAAAAAAAAAAAAAAAAAAAACCCCACAACAACAACAAAAAATAACTTTTTTCTGTAAAACTCAATTTGTAATAATAATAAAAAGAAAAGAAAAGAACAGAGCACCAATAAATACAATGTATGTGCATTTTAATTATAAAAATGAGAAAAACATTGAAGAATGGGATAGGTGGTATATTTAGTTTTGTTTTTTAAGTTTACTTTAAAGCTAACGGTACCTAAAACCAACACATTTTTAAAAGAAAACAGTATTTTAATTAACAAGAACTTGACCTGTTTTCTTTCAAGAACGTCTAATGTCAAAGTGAGTAGATGGACGGCTATACAGATCAATTATAACAGACAAAAAAAAAAGAAGAGATTAAACATATTAAAGTAGAATATGGTAATATTATTTTTACACACAGTGGTAGAAAATAACCGAGAGTAAGAGAAATGCACAATATTGTTCTTTTGTCGATTGATTCATGCAAAAAAATAAATAAATAACAGTAGAAATAAAAAGTATTTGATAGATCAGATTATATGACAGTGAAATGACAAATTAGACATTTATTTTTGCCATTGCTAAAGGGATTAGTTGCTTGTTTTTTGTTTTCCTCTTTTTTATTGTTGTTTTGAGTTTATTATTAAGACAATTTTCAATTAATAAATCAGAATACCGTGGAGATGTAGATATATGACTATCTGGTACAAGTTGAGAATTATTTAAATCATTTGACATTGAATCTGCAGTAGAAACCGAAGAAGAAGAAGATATTACTTCAGTCACTATCGATGAATTTTTATCTTCTTCCTTCTGGTTGTTATAACTTTTGTCATGCATTATTTTCACTTGATCAACTAAAAGAAAGAAAACATGAATATATCAGATTACAAATATTCAATATCTTTGTCAAATTGACATAGAACAACTAAAGAATATGTGCTCAATGTAAAGGTATATTGTCTTCAAGATTTTGAGATATGTTTATTATGTTGTCTTTCAAAATATACAAAAGAGTCAAAAACTCTCTCAGCCTAATATTCTTTTAATGAGAAAACTAACCGATTTTTGATTGATTGTTAATATCGATCAACGATAAATGCACATCAATAATTCGTTGTAATCGAATGAGACGATATGTACAGAATACACACCACAAAAACATGAATACAAGAATAAAAACAATTACAATTGTCGAATATTCAATCTACAATACAAAATGAAAAGTACTGTCAAAAATCATAAAGATTTTTTTTTTGTCTGTATTTTACTTTAAGAATTTTATCATTTAAAATCGTATGACTATGTTGAAATTCTTCAATGTTTTTACCATACTCTTTTAACTAAAATAAAAATCATAGTATCAATAAATTAGAGTTTCACGTAATATAAAATCGTATTTTATACTTTTTCATCAGCAGCTTTTGATGCAATCGATAGCAAATCAATGACAAGCTGTGTTTCATCCAATTTTTTTCTATAAATGATATATAAAGCAGCAATTACTAATCAAATTAAATTAAAATATCATCTACTTACAAATAATGTTGACTAAGTTCTTCTAAATATCTGTTACTCAATGTTAAATTAAAATTGAGTTTTTCAATTATTTTAAGTAATTCTGGTAATGTTTTTGTATTCATTAAAAGTCCTTTTAACCATGGGCTTACTACTGTTGAAGGTATCGACTCACCGTTAATAACAGAACTTGATGATCTACTCAATGTTGACAACTCTGTGTCATTAATTAGAGTGGATATTGTGACATTCACTGTTTCTATTATACTATTAGATATATTTGATCGCAAACTATCGTCTAAATATTCTGTATCGATGTTTAAATCGTTCGAAGTGTTCAGGGGTACAGATGGTAGAATTGATAATAATGGTTCGACTATTGTCGTATTAGGATGATGATAGTCATTAATCAATGGACTATCAGACAGAATTGAATCCTCTGATGGAGGAGCATTTGTGCTTGTTAATACATCTTGAACATTTTCTAAAGTAGAAAGACATAAATAATAATATATACTGTGAATTATCGATCAAATATTCTAGATAAATATTTGTTTACAGATGGATGAGTCCGATTATTTCCAAGTCTGAATTCATCCAGACTTGAGTTCGAGTCCAGTCCGAAATTTCTAGAGTTCGAGTTCAAACTTGTCTATTTCTATTTTTACCTTTTTGTGAAATTTTTAGTTTTTTTTATCTAAATTAATCGATCTATGTTCATTTTTTCGAACAATTGTAATGGAACGAAGATTTTCTGAAAAAGATATTCGACTCGTTTTTTGTAAACAAGAAATAATTGATGAACAAAACATTAGTCTGCATTATCCTTACCTTGAGCGTTGTTTGTTAATGTCACATTCTTTGTTGAATTATCATTTGCTTTGAGATTGTGAACTAGTGTTGATGATGTATTATTGGTTAAATTCGTTTTATTTTGAACGTTAAACTCATTTAAATTAATCATTGTTTTCTGAGATGAATATGATGTATTCACTTGTTTATTTAATGAATGCCTTATTGTTAATAAATAATAATATCCACATTGATGAGATAATAAATTGGGCGTTGTCAAATTTGAATTATTAAATTGAGTATTATTTATGTAACACTGACAACATGTATTATGCAATGAACAGAATACAATTGGTTCTATACAACTATTTATTTCTCTACCAAATAGTAGAGAGACACATTGTTTTAAAAAAGATAAAAGTGAATATTTTTTGTTGGTAACATTTCTTGTTGAAGATACACTATTACATTTATTATAGTTCGAATTTTTCAATGGATCTAACTCAGCTGGCAATAATGGTCTAGTTGTAGTACTAGATAAAATGGGATTTATTGTTGAAGACTGTTCTTGTTGTGTTGGATGATGTAAATTAAATACTTTTTTTGCTAGATCAATGATAGCTGAACCAATAACAGATGATGGTTGTTGTTCATCGTTAGAATCATCATCGAGATCAGCCAAATGTTTAGTGATTTCTTCCCTTTTATCTACAAGACCATTATTTTCTTCCATCGTCATTATTTCATCTTCAACATTTGAACCTATTGAATAGAATACAGAAAAAATGTTGACTATTATATAATAAATAATAATATAATAAACTATATATATATTATATGCAACCTACCATGTACACGAACTATACTCAATGGACAAAAATGTTCTCGACCATAAAAATCGACTAATTCAAATCGAACATATTTTAAATATGTATTAAACTGTGCTGTTTGAAAACTTTGAATCGTACGATTAAATGTACAATTAAATGTTCCCAATTGATAACGTTGCCAATCTTTTGTCGGATATCTAGATAAAAGTGAAAATTTTTAAGTATTAGAATTTTAATAATAATTCTTGTTAAATACGATTTATTCACACTTTTCAAACGTTTTTTGTTTACCTATCACTAGCAGATACACGAACTGTTTTTGGTACACTTGAAAATAATTCAAAATTGGCTATTTCAATATTAAGAATACGAATTGATTCACATAATTCAAGTACAAACCTAAAGTAATTAAGAACATCTCAAAGTTTTAATTAGATATTTTAGACTTCCACAGAATATGTTATTGTTCACCAATATGAAATCAAGCGGATGGTTGTTTTAGTTTGATAATAACAAAATGGTAACTTTAGAGGGTTAGTTTTTAATGAAAATTACCCATGATTTTAAAGGCGAAACTAAATTCTATTTTAGAAATATCTTTTATCTGAATGTTATTATTTATGTGGCTGTTATTATTTCAACGAAATAGCCTCTTTCTCATAGAGAAATAAGTTAAGACAGAGTCAGTATGTTTAGTTTTTAACGCTCATTCGAAATGACGTATTCGAAAAGAATTTATACGTCTTCGATAGGGAATTTTTTAAATAAAATGTAATTAAAGAGTTTAGATATCAAATAATATAATTTTCTTCTGTACGCTCCAAATATAGACCAAGAAAAATCAGATTCACTTGACTGCATCAAAGATTTCCACTAATTGCAATCCCTCTGTGTAGTAGAGATCTAAGAGATCAAAATTTTTTTGCCCGGGCCCGTTTGTTCTCGTAGTTCTATCGAGGGTGCTTGTCAGCGTCCGCCTGTGGAGTTTTCTAGCTGCGGGCAAGAGAGCAGTTGCCCGTTCATGCAGATCTCTACTGTGTAGAACTAGAGCCGAAACATTTAATGCATAGATCAGTACAAAAGTCGAATATTCTCTCTATCGAAGACGCATAAATTCTCTTCGAATATGTTATTCCGAACGAGCGTTAAAAACTGAACATACTGACTATGCCTTCGAATTTTGTAGGCGTATAATGTGTGCTGTGATTCTCTCCCAAAATATTTTACTAATTGTGTATATGACTGAGTTGTGTGCAAAAAATTTTCGATTGAACCTAGAGACTTAGTTTCCTACAGTTCTGATTTTCTATAGATTTCATATCAGCAAATTCTAGTGCAACCTGCATACACATCGCTCCTGATTGAAAATCCTTTCAGCTATTCAAATCACCTTTCGGATCTGTTTTAACTAGTACGATCGAGCAAGAAAGATTAACTCATTAAGTACCAGATTTGTAAATTTTGATTTTTCTTATGCATAAAAAGATGTATCAAAATAAGATTTAAAAATAAACTTTCATTAATATATTATTTTATGGAATTTTTAGGTTTTCAAGCTTAGGTCTCCCCATAAATTCTCTTAGGCTTTTTTCTGTCATTTGAAAGTCGTGTCGATTATTGTGCGAGGCAAATTTTATGCTTTCTTCAACAATATGTTGCATGATAAAAATATTTACACATCTGAAAATAATAGAATCATTTATTTAATATCCCCAAATGGTGATCATGGTACTTAATTTTAGGTTAAAAACAAATCATTTCTATAATTTTGTCCAGGACCGTACATAGAGATGACTACATACCATATTTTAGCATTACAAGGATTCAACATATATTCATCCGGTGATGAGAATAATATTGATGCGGTATTTGATGATTCTGGATTATTAGCCAAAATTTTTGCTCCACACGATGAACTAGCAAAATTTTTTCGTAATTTTGATTTTTTTGTTGCTTGTGATGACGTTAAAGTTGCTTGCAACGACGCAGATATATCAGATGGTGCTTGACCATCCACTTCTTTTAAAACAACATAACAATAAGTGATCATCAATGATATAGTCATAATTAAACTTACTTTTAGAGTCGGCACCATTCAGCTGTTTTTGTTTCCATTCTTCAAATGAATGAATACCTGACAGGTTTTTTTTTAGATAAAGTGGATGTATTCACATTTTGTTGATGTTCCTCAGAAGTTGCTGTAGTTGTTGTGCTTGTAAATTCTTCTTCTATGACTGAAGTTCTAAAAGAAAGTATTTATTCAGATGATAGAACTAACTGAGTTTGTTCTTTAACTTACGTTTGCACTGTTTGTTCTTTTTGTATTGGACTAGCATTTTCAATAGTTTCATCGGTCGAATGAATAGTACTAGACAAAAAGGAAAAGAATATGACATATGAATTATTTCACAAATAAGAAACTTACTTCGCTAAATTTTTGATGATAGTCCTCTCAGCTTCTTCTATCAATGGGAGTGAATCAGCCTTAAAAAGAACAAAGCACGTCAATAGTCTTGGACTTTTAATGTATTAGTTTTTTAAAATCCATAGATGAGGAGATATTATGCATGTTTTCCTACGGTACTAGACAAACGTTAATACATAAAATCTCAGAGTTGCTACAACTACAGAGAACAGATACTTAGAATCTTAATAAAATTCTCTCTGTAATGCACGTTGTCCCAGAGACTTGTCATTGTATACTGTACAAATACACGTTTAAGAAATTATGAAAATAGGCGTCGTTTTCTAACTACAACGATCACTTGATACTAACATCATATTTTACATTACTGTCTATGACAGTAAGCTCTTCCTTATCCGGAGATAGTGGATTGTTAGATATGTTCGTGATTTCATCTTCATGATTAATTGTTGTTGTTAGGTTTAACACATGATTATCTTCATTCGATTGCTCATCTACTGGAATGGATGATGAATTTTCTAATACGAGCTGAAATGAAATCCAAAAATATTGAGTACCCACTACTGTTGTTTATTTTGTATTGCAGTACTAGATGGTTTACTTTTTCGTTATTATTGACGTTGATTTCATTATCAGCTGATATAAGTTTGATTACATATAACAGGATATATATAATTGTGATCAATCTAGAATAATAATAAATACTAATGGTGTAATTGTACGCACGATAAATTGTATGATAAATGGCTTACTGTGTAGATTTGACAAAACAGCGGTTATAAGAGCAAATTAGCACCATCCAGTGTTAGAACCAGTTCTAAGCAATGAACGAGTAAATAAAAGGATATCTAAATCATGAGATAGTGTGATTAATGATAAAGTAGAGCATTAGAGAACTATCATGCGCTAACAGGATAATTGATCTATGAAATAAATAGAGTGTGAAAAAATGAGAACTCATATTAGTGGGTCGTTCCATTCGAAAAATCTTTCATTTGGGTTTAAATCAAATTAATAAGAAAAATGACTAATTGCACATTAAGAATCTCCTCCCGAGAATGTGGCTTTGTATAATGATTCCGCACTTCATACTTTTCTGGTTGAAAATCACCATACGGCGATTTTAGGACGGTTTTTTCACATTTTGGCTCCAGATTTATCTTCTATTACATAAGCTCTACTGTTTTGAGGAAGACTTCAAGACAAATGTGAGGATGCATTAAGTCAGTGGTGAGAAACGACAGAAACAATGAGCACATAAACTAGTACATTCTCTTATTAGCAGTTTTCCCACCATAAGATACATGTACTGGAAAGACACTTTTTCATTACTATACTAAGAAAAGATCGCAACTTTCATTCAAGTGAATTTCTGAAATAAGTTTTTGTTATGACGAAATATGCAGTTTTTTTATGATGTGTTAGGATTCTCAATATGAAAAAAAGCCAACAAAGAAAAACTTCAAGAATTGACTCATTTAACTTAGTCTAAAACATGCCTAAGCCAATGTATGACATTCTCAAAAAACCTAAGATTATGCCGAATTCCAATTTGTACCTTGACGATGCAATATTTCGATCTGAAACTTTTATCATAGTATATTTACATGACGTCGTTTGCTTCCTTTGCATATTAAACTGAATACTTTGGGATACTATTAGCAGTTAAAATGAGAAATGAGCAGTTCTAATGCGATGAAGAGAGCAGTTAGTGCTGCAAAGTAGTGGCTAATTTAACTTAATAAGGATATAGATATCATTAACTACTGTATAGAAGGCATTGTACTAACGGCAAAAACAAAAGGAACATGAAATCTGAAATCTAATTTAGCGTCAGAATTCTGTTAAACTTTTTCCTCGAAGCGGTTGCGCGTGTTCAGCGCAGATGAAAGTAAGACAGGGAGTTTTCGCGCACATCTACAATATAAACTCTTTTGTTTGTTTATTTGTGAGTTTCTTTACAACAGGACAAATCATTACCAGATGGTGAATAAAACTCTATTGAAAACAGAAAAAACATGATTTCATTTGTTTTTCACGAGATAACCACAGAACGCCAATGGCACGTGCTGTGTTTTCCATTCGTTAGTGCATCAGTGCGTTACAACTAGTCGGTTCACTGTGAATTATCGATTTTCATCGAATGCGTCTCGAGTATACTTCCTCTATGTTAGCAAAGACTTAAAACATGATGTTTTGATTTTCTCTTTGTCTTTATACAACAATCATATGCGCTATGCAAAGATAGCTTGATTGATTGTTGGCTTGTTTGCTCTCATTCATTAATCTCAACGCCTTATTTGTACCTGTTTCTTGATGTTTGAATACATTTTTAAAATAGGCTAAAAGCTCTCAAGTGAGAGCTTTTTTTCAGTCGTTTGCATGAAACTTCTAGACATTTATCCAGAATAATTATACCCTATACTGTGTGTGCGTGTGTACTGATTTCTGTTAGATTATCTTAAATTAAGCTTTATTTTTAATTGCTGTAGAGTACCAGTAGCGAACTTTGATGAAAGAGATACGACAGTTAGAGACTTCAAATTTTCCTATAATAATCTATTACAATTGTTTAAAAAAGTTTTTTTTACTCTGCAGTTTTGATAAAAGATTTATTTAAGACCAATAGTTGTATTGATAAATTGATCTTACACATACGAATTACAGATGTTTTACCAGTAATGTAACGTTTTAACAAGTTTCTGACATACGTTGTTCTTTTGTAACATGAACCGCTCTCTTTTCAGATTCTTTTGAATGAATTAGTAATTATGTCAACGGTTAAGTCAAAGGGTGGTAGTGATGACGGTATGTCACCTCCGCCTCAACTTTCGAACACTGGCAGAGGAGAAACAGCTGGACCAGATAATTGGAGTGCTGATGGAAAAGGTAACTAGACTTCTGAAAGTTAAATTTGATTGATGTCTTATTTTTCTATTTCTAGCAGTGAAAAAAGATAGTAGTGGTTTGCCTGGTATTGGTAAAAAAATAGCCGAGAAAAGTGGTGGATTATTCTCACCCGAAGATTGGATGTGTAAAAGGTATTATATGTTTTATATCCTGAAAATGTTTATTAGTATCATTTTTACTTCTGTTTAGTTGTGGTAATATTAATTGGTCTCGACGTTCGAATTGCAATATGTGCAGTATGCCAAAATTTCAAAAAGCTGAAGCTAGAACAGGTTAGAATACAAAATGATGAATACATAACATCTTACTTTATAGTAAGAAATATTATCAAAAAAGTTTTATTTGTAATTATTGAATATTAGATCTTTGAAAACGTACATGTAGCAGCTGTTGTTAATTGTCATTTAGGTGCTGGAGGAGGATACAATGAACGGGAAGATATTGAATATATTGATCGAGAAGATTCAGAAGATGAATATGATGAGGTGTGTTTATATAAATAACTATGAGTGATCTTAGCTTTATTTTCCTTTTGTTTTAAGTTCGGTCGTAAAAAGAAAAAATTTCGTAGACAAACATCAGAAGAAATGGAAAGTCAACAACAGCGACAGCCACAAAAGTCAAAAGAAAATGATCAAAATAACACTTCACATATTTCAATGGATAAAAAAAGGAATGGAACGCAAAAAGATGCAAAAAAAGACGACGAACAAGCAGAGGATGATGTTGGCTTTACAAAACAAGTTACTTTGGCAGAGGTAATGGTAAAATAGTGAGTATTCATATTTATTGATCCAACTCTACGAGAGAGACAGGAATAAGAAAAAATGAGCAGTGGATATTAAATACTAAAGTACCACTGTTAGGTTCAAGTCTAAGAGTGCCATAAAACCAGAGACATCCTAATTTCGTAGTGATTCACTCTAACCGTCGAAGACGAACAATTCAGAAGCCGACCTGGACGTTTTGGCTCAAAATGAAGTTTTGAGTAAATGAGACACGTTTAATGTAGGTCGTTAAAGGTTACCAGCAGAATGGTAACCTGTAAAAGACGGTAAAATAGTAACGGTAAACCGGTAAATTACCGTTACCGTTGCATGCCTAGTTTAATGACTTGAACTGAAGCAGCGATAAAATCTTTCTTTCAAGTGTTAGCACTTATAGTTTTTTGTGGAATAACTTATAAAATGAGTGAGATCTCATTATTAAGTGTCTACTAAATTCGATCAGTAACTGTTACTCAATGCCATGGACTCAGATTGAACACCAACTAGAATTGTTTGTATTAGGTTCCACTTCGGACCTCAGATCCATATCGTACGTTCAAGTGATCTGGACATAAAAGTGAAAGTGGAAGAGCAGTATTAAATAATCGGCGAATAAATTCGTAAATGACTTCTACGTACTCAGATTCTTACAGAATCTACCATTGTATTTATTATTTTTAGCTTTCGAACAATACTCGATTCATCATCAGGAAAATAACGATATGATTAGAGAAAAATTACTATGAGTATATATATTTATTCGATATATGTGTGTTCGAAAGTTGGAAATAATAAATACAATACTAGATTCTGTAAGAATCTTAATTCATTTACGAAATTTATTTGTCGATACTGGGCTTGACGGTCTCTGTATGAAAGAGATAAAGAATCGTCCCTAGATAGATTCCGATTAACTATTCTTTATTAGAGTATGAAAAAATAGACAGCAAATAAATTGAGTAGAGGTTTTTATTGCAATCAACCGTTTTTTGCTGCTACTGTCATGAGCATAACATATGAGCGGTATGAATATCCATCTATTCTCAGCTACAATCTTTTGCGTCATGTATTAAACATTCATTTATTCGATACTTGCAATGTCGCTGAATTCTACAATGTCCAAATGAGCGTTTGTGTTCTCATAATATATTGCCTACCTTTTTCAATTTAAGGAGATTGACAAGAGACTCGATGAAAAGAGAGACGAAGAATTTGAAGAAGAAGATGATGATGATGAAAATTTTGATGCTTCAAAATATGCACTTGATGATAGTGATTTAGAAGAAGTGGAAAATGTTTCAAATTCAAATAATGATAATATCATTAATGCATTGGCATCCACAACGTCAACGAATGTGTCAAAATCTGATGATAAAAATGCTAAAAATATAAATCGATTACAAACATCAACATCTACATCGTCAGCAGGAAATAAATCAGCAAAAAAATCTTCGCGCACATCGTAAGTAGAAATAAGAAAAACTGTTGACAGATCGAAAATAATCGATTCATTGAATTCTACAAAAGTCCATTATTATTTCCACATTTGTAAGACTAACTCTTACGAGGGAAGTCTACTAACTTGAAAATCGTTTGCGGACCAAAATCCAGTGAGTCATAGGTTATCGACAATCCTGAATCCGAATATGACCATGAGACCGGCTCCTAGGCCTTGCATGACCTGCTTTCCAGAAAGGCAGGTTTCCAGAAACCTCAAAAAATCCCCAAAACTTTTTCTAAGCAAGTCGCGATTGTAGCCTGCGAAATTAGGATCAAAATGAGACCCCCGCACGCGACCTTTCTTTGCAAAGTTATAGAATAGCCCTAAATTCCTTTGTATTTTCTATTTTTTTTCTGTAGCTCTGAGGTGACAATAAACATTTAGAGCTTACCTTGTAAATTCGATAACTTTGCAAAAAAAGGTCGTGTAGAGCTGGAAGATGTCTCATTTTGATCCTAATTTCCCGGGCTACAATCGTGACTTGTTTAGAAAAAGTTTTGGGGATTTTTTGAGGTTTCTGGAAAACCAGGTCATGCAAGGCCTAACAGCCGGTCTCATGATGATATTCGGATTTAGGACCGTCGATAACCTATGACTCACTGGATTTTGGCCCGCAAATGATTTTGAAGTCGGTGGACTTCCCTCGTTAGTGTATAATACGTCTCTAACTCACCGGCGATTCTTTCCTTCAAATTCTACTATAAACAGATCGATTACTAGTATTCTTTATAAGCGTATAGCGAATTTTTATGATAAAGTCACATCCATGTGGGAACAAATAAAAGATAATAATTTACATCATGATCAATATATAATAGAGTGATCAAGTCATTTCAAGCTCGTAATGAAATGATTGTAAACTTATCAAGGTTTAACGAATTCATGAGAAATACCGAAAACTCTGTATTTAGTATGGAATTGATAAGAGGTCGATGCATGATAGCTCAATAATCTTATGATACTCGATATACTGGTTTATGACTTAATTTGAAACAAATTGAAATTGCAACAAATAATACTCGAAATAAAAATGAGTAATAAATGAGATCAGTCAATTTCAATTAACAAATGGTTTTGAATGGAAAATAGTGAACATATGTCGGATGAACAGAGAGTGATAACTGACATGAATCGTGTTTTAAAAGTAGATAAGACATTTGATTATAATAGTAATATGGTGTCATATGAACGTGTGAAATCAAAATAAAGAATTGAATTTGCTTTATTAAACCTGCTGAACGTTTTACATTCAGCTTCATCCTTTAAATCAATGAAATAATAACACTTATTTGCTTCGATTGCACTCAAAATCCTATCAAACACTTGGATAGTGAGTACGGGATCAAAATATTGTCCATCCTAAAAAAGAATAACCCATGACCATATTTTTAATAATTCAAAAACGGAAAGAGCTTGAGTGATGGGTTTTTCAGATATGGAAAGAATAGTTCATGGGGCATCTTTTCGCTAGCAAAAAGCTTTTCGAAAAGTGGTTTAAAAACCGATTTTGAGGAGATCTCTAGAAAACTCGTGTATAACGGAAAAATTTGAAATGCTAAACTATTGTTTTTTTTTTACATTATTGGATAGAAGAAAGTGCCCTCTATAAAACGGGATCTAGACGACATCTTCATTTACCATGGTTCGGTAGCTACCGGTAGCTACCTAAACCTCAAAAGCTATTGAAATAATGATTTTCAACCATCGCGAATCTTGTGGCAATGTGTTTCTTGCAGAAGAAAATTGCAAAACCTAGTGAAAACCGATACTAGATGAGATAACCTATTTTTGCCTATGTGTACCGAGTGCTAAAAAGCTCATAACTCAGTCAAAATCGGTTCAAAACTATTTCAGAATATCAATATGTACGTTATTTTATCTTCTTAACCTTATTCTGGGCTTGAAATTCGTAAGAAAAATTGTCTTGTTCCCAAAGTTTTCTAGAAATTCTGTCATAGATCGAAATACCTTCTCTTCGTTTTTAAAGTTTGTAATGAATTTCATGATATAGTGTAGATATTATTATTGCTTTCTAAATTCTAACTATAATTGAATTGATCTCTTTGAACTTCGTACATGTGTGATAGAGTCATCAAATTCGTTTCTAACAAACAGACACAAAAGGGTTTGACATGTATATTTTGATTTGGCTTATTTAGTCGTACGAAATCAAAAACAAGTTCATCAGCATCATCGTCGGCCAGCTCTTCAACATCAAGATCTCGATCTTCAAGTTCTGAAAAGTCAGGATCACGGCAAAATCGAAAAGGACGTCGATCATCCAGATCAAGGTTCGTAGAAAAATTTTTGTAATTTGGTTTTGGTTTAAACTTTAATCTTGAACCAGTAAAAACTATATAAACTGAAGGATAATATCGATAATATTGTACAACCTCAATCATTGTGCAAAATATAGGAAAGCACAGTAAGGTTGATTTTTGCAGTTCGTCTGTCAAGATCAAGTGTGTGTGTTCGATCCTAGCCTCGTGCAAGTATTGATTTTTTGTTTTGATAGTTTAAGTTTCAGAATGATGTAATGGGAATTTATATTCTCGATTTTGTTCTGGGTTCAAGATTAAAACTTGAATTAAAATTTTTTTTTACAGATATAAGTTAGAATATAATCTCGTATATCAGCTTAACATCTTAGTGAATGTTGTTCTTATTTTAGTTCACGTTCCAAAAAGCATTCATCTTCAAAATTATCATCGTCATCAAAATCCAAACGAAAACATTCTAGTTCGAGATCACGTTCACATTCACCACGTTCATCAACAAAAAATAGTAGAAGAGGGTCAAGGTTTGAAGCGCGTTATAGCAAAAATACGGACGAAAAATAGGATATTTTCTCTAGAAATCATATTTTTTCTTTGTTTAACATTGATGATATCCTATCTCTGATCTCAAATTTTTTTTCTATTTATTTCGTTTTAGAAATCGTCGTCGTTAGTTGTTTTATATGCACACTATTTGGCTCCATCGAATCTTATTTTGTTTTTTGGAAATTATTTATGGGTGAACTATTATATATTAAATTTTCAAAAGTGGGAATTTTAAAGCAGTCTTTATCCTTTATTTTGTATTTAATAACAGAAAAGTTCATGTCTGATTGCTATTAATGAATTGATAAAAAGAACAATAATTTTTTTCTTTTTTTGTATTATTTGGTCGTACAAAGTTGTGTTTTTTTGTTCTTTGTTTTTCATGTTTCTCAATAAACTGATGAACACTCTCTTATAATGTTCTTTTAATTGGCATAGAATTGTATACTTGCATATTGATATACTAAAATTACTAGCAATATTTTCCTTTTTTTCAATAGAAAACGTCTCCTGTCAAGAAAAAAGTACATGTGGTCTTTCTTTCGTAAATAATTTTGATGGGTAAGTAGTACGTCAGAACATTTGTAAATATGTAGATGAATAGGTAACTTTCATGAAGTGTTGCTACGTCTAGATGATCTTTTGATTCTCGTTAACAAAATTTAATATAAAAACATGCAAAAGATCTGATTAGAAGAAAGACATTTTTTTGTTGTGCACTACAATCCTAGAATTATTTATCAACTGTCTTACAAATATAGGAAATAGTCAATCTTTAATTTTCAATGAATAATAAGACACTATCCGAATAGTGAATATAAAGTATTTTACTCATCACATGTTCGCGAACAATATGTTGATATAAATTGTTTCTCGTTTCTTATACAACAAAAGGTACGTGACATAAAGCTAAACATTTCGTAGAATGTTAAATTATAGGATGCTAAATCAGATAAAGAATGAAATAAATGGATGAACTCAAAACTATTCCGAGACCTGAAACATGTTTTTCTTCTGAAGATGAATTAGCTTCTTTTTTTTTGCGTGATCTAATCAACGATTTTGATATAAAAAAATGATTTCTCGTTACCGAAGTGCTTAACGTGTTTTTTTTTAAAATTTGATTAACTGGGATCGACAGCATGTTATTTTCATGATCTTTTAAACTCCCGTCTATTTCTTACAAGAGAAGATTGCCAAGTGTGAGTCTCAGTTTTGAGTGGGATACATATCAGTTTGTAGAGCTTGGCGAGTTGATTTCTATGGCATAAAGTTTTCTTACCTAGAGACCTTTAAATTAGAAAAACTATTGTCCATTCAAAAACAGAATGGTATATGACTGTTTTGTGAATAACTTTTGATAGAAAAGAGCTAGCGGACTCTAGTTTTCATCATTCGAAAGAGAAGACTTGAGGACATGTTTTCATAACCAAACTTTTTCAGAAGAGTTTTCCTGAAAGAGGTTTTCGAGGAGATCTTTGGAAAACTAAGTCGTGTGTAAAGGTCTTCCAATAGGATTGTATTGATTTTTTTTTCATGGGCTGATAACGCGGGATATAAAATGGGAGTCAAGTGAGCCCTTGCTTTTCTGCCGTTCGGGTGTTGTATCGGATTTCCTACGAATTCTAGGACTGGGATCCGGTGACTATTGTAGCCTTTGAAGACGGATGAACTATGGGTAATCGACCATGCTGAGTCTCGTGGCAATATTTGTTTTTAGAAAAATTTTAAAAATCTACCGAAAAGCGAGTTTTACGAAAATTCGAGTTTCCAGGCTGTTTTTACTTAATATTAAAGAATTCACTATTCACTTAAAAAACATCAGAACACGTTTAAAACCTCAGGATATGATTAATGTTGTCCGATAAACGTGATTATAAGATCGGAAAAGTCCAAAAAGCATACTTTGGTTAATAGGTTTTTCCAGAAAACCTCAGAGTTTTATAAAATTTCTTTCAGGCTCTCCTTTACACAGGATATAGTACAGTATAAATACTCTACATTGTGAAGTTTTGATCTCATTCTGATATTTTTTGAGTGAATAGTCCTAGGATTCGTGGGAAACCCGATACAGCACCCGAACCGCGAAAAAGCAAGGTCTCGCTTGACTCCCATTTTATACCCGCGTTGTCAGATCATTAAAAAAAATCAATACAATCCTATGGGAGTTTTGTTTATGAAAACATATCCTCAAGTCTCCTCTTTCGAATGATGAAAAATCAGCGATCTCTAGCTCTTTCCTATCAAAAGTTATTCAAAAAACAGTCATATACCATTGTGTTTTTGGATGGACAATAGCTTTTCGAGATTCCTTTTAGATGAACAGTATAGCCATAACGGTATCTATCTTTGAAAAATTTGAAATTCGTTCATGTGTGAAATGGATATTAGCGAATGAATTTAAATGTTTGGCCTTACAATTTCCAGATAATGATCTCAGTTATTCTGCTGATGTTTTGTCATGTTTACAATCAGAATTAACGAGCAATGTTGTAGAATTTTACATAATAGGTGATACAAATAATCAGTGCTGTAACGATTTGATAAATGTTCAATATTGTCATGCTGAAGCTCTAATCCACTACGGTCACTCTTGTCTCTCAGCAACATTGCCATCTCCGTTACCGATTTACTATGTATTTTATCAACAACCATTAGATAATTTGACATTTCCTCATAGCGATAAATTTTGTCTCGTCTATTATGATCCATGTTATTCTGAAGCGATTGATAAATTAAGAAATGAACAATCGTTAGAACGTATAATTTATTCAAGAATTGATGTTTTAACCAAAGAGAAAAATGATAATCAGTTTACATTATATGGTCGTTCAGTATCTTCATTACCACACGATTTAGATTCATCACTTTATTCTATCTTCTATATTGCACGTGATGCAGATTCAATGTCATTAACTAATTTTCGTCTTTATTTTCACACCTATGAATTTTATTCTTACAATTTTCATTCAAAACAATTTGATCTTTATCCATCAACATCGAAACAACTACAAAAACGTTTATATTTAATTGAATGTGCTAAACAAACATCTGTTTATGGTCTATTAGTAAATTCTACATCACTGTTAAATCAGTCAGATACAATTCATCGAATACTATCTTACTTGAAACAATTATTTCATAGAAATGATAAAACATACTATATTCTCTTAATGAACACAATGTCAATATCAAAAATGAATAATTTTTCATCAATTAATTGTTATGTTCTTTGTTCATCATGTTCAGAAAATCAATGGTATCAACAAAAACAATTTAATATACCATTAATTAGTGTCTATGATTTATATTTAGCTTTTAGTAGTGATAATAGTTGGAACAACTATTCACTTGATCTTGAACATATTTTAAAACACCTTAGTACATTTGAAGAAGATAAAGAAGAATATTTATCGACAAAAACGAACGAATTAGTATTGAAACATCCAAATCATCTTGTACAAATGAGTGATAGTAATCATCAACCGTATCAGCGAACATGGTGGGGACTAGAATTAACGACATCAAAAACTTCTGTAGATGAAAATGATCAAAAATCAGTTGCAGAATTAAAACATGGAAAATCTGGAATTGCAGCAGGTTATGATCATGAATTAATATGATAAATTTTGTTTTTCATTTTGCTTTATTACAATAAATTGTAAACTTGCTAGCAGAATATCATTTACGTTCATTTAAGAAATCTCTATTCATTTTTTGTTTGTCATCTCACTAAAGAAGGTAATGTCTAAAAAATAATTGGTTTTTGTATTATACAATTTCATCATAGACGTACGCCCCAAGTTAATTTGTTCAATTTTTCATATTCATCTATAAAGAATTGCTAACAGCGTCGATTCGAGTGACCATCAGCGCTTAATTCTGAAATGTCTTCCTTGTACTCACAAAAAAATTTATTTGAAGTATCAGATTTGATACTATTAACGTCACATGTCATTATATACGATTGCTCAAATCTCTCAGTAAGTAGTAGATAAAATTTTTCCGATCTTCATTAGAGGTAGGCAAGTCCGAGTCCGAAATTGAAGACTTTTCTGGACGGACTTGGACTTGGAGACTTTTTATCAAGTCCGTTTGAAGTTTAAAGGAGTTATAATCTTTTACATTAAACATCGAAACGAGTATAATCTGATACCTAATTTATTAATCTTTTTTTTGTCAAACATGAATAAGTGTATGGATAAAATTTATTTACTCATCATATATGATCATGACGTACTGTATAGTACAGAAACTACTATGAAGAGAACTTGGACTTAACTTGAACTTGGAAATGATCAGACTTGTCCACCTTTAATCTCAATAATTGTAAAGTATTGTTTAATCTCCCTCTTAGATATGTAAAAGAAACGTTTTAATTTATTTTACTATGTATATCTAAACTTATTCATTAAAAACATCTAAATTGAATTTTTTTTGAGAATTTAACGCAATTTGATTGAGTATCAAAAATGGTTATGATCGGGAAACATCATTCTTTAGGAACAAACTATATCAGAATCTTTCGCGAATATTGTTGGTTTTAGTAGATAACTTTAGAAAAGCAGCCTATTATTGGTAGAAGGAAGAATGGCCGCGATTGTTTTCATAATTCAGGAATGAAAGAAGCTAGTAAATTCGAGTTTTTCATTAGTCGAAATAGAAGATTTTAATGTATTTTTTTTTTGTAAGAGATATTAGTTCAAAACAATTTTTTGGGGAAACCATGTCATGCCTGAAAAACTTTATATGACTCGTTTGCTTTTTTTCTATTGGTAGATAGCCCAGAGTGTGCTCTTCAAAATGGAAGCCACGTGAGACCTTGATTTTCAACGGTTTATATGTGACATCAGATTCCCTGAAAGTCCCAGGACTAGTATGTAGTGACTTTTGGTAGCATGAACATCAAACGAAACATAGATAATCGACGACGCTGAATCTCTTGACAATATTTGTTTGTTGGAAAATATCCAAAAGCCTATAGGAAACTGACCTTATCTAAATAACCCATTTTAAAATATTTTTACCTAATAATAAAAAATTCATAACTACAACAAAAATGGTCACACCGACTTGAGAACGTCAGAAGATACAGTGTTTTGTATTAGAAAAAACTGAAACTAGAAAAAGTTTCAAGAAATATTTTTAGTTTTCCAGCTAGATTTCCAGAGAACCCAAATCTACTAGCTCCTTTCATCCCTGAATTATTCAGAAAACAATCGAGTTAATTCTTTCTAACAACAATAGTTGTCCAAAAGTTAAAGCGGCTTTATGAATGAATAAACTGTCTTAAAGCGCCCTCTTCAAACTGGGAATCAAAAGAGAACTTGATTTCAGTAATTTGTGGTTGACCTCGAAAAAACCATTTTGGTTTTTATCTGAAATCCACTTGTGAACAGAAGATTTTTTAATTTTGATTGTCTAAACTGTAAAATAATCGAGGTGTAAATAAAATTTTTAGACAGATCTGGGCGTGCATGTGGGTACGCTTCTTACTCTTACGTTTATCTTTGCATAAATAAAATTGAAATATGTCTAAGTCAATTTAACATCTACATGAATTTTAGCTATTTTAGCTATATTAGCTACATATACATAGTAATCGAATACGACCAGCGTTTTTCTGTGTTTGTCATTTTTCGTTGCATATAATGTTACAAAAAAAATGAGAAGGAAAAATCTATAATAGCATTAAAAACAACAACTTCCAATGAGGATAATGATCATAATGTGCGATAAAGAAGATGATGATGTATTAAAATGCGTCAAGTCAATATTTTCGTCAACAGAATAAAGTTAATTCGATTCTTTGTCATTATTTACAGTAACATTGTCAGTTACAAAAGACTGTTTATCTGTCAAAGATAAAATGGCAGTTCATCAAGAATGAAATGGAATATCAGAGAACAATTGAATAGAAATAGAAGAAGCAATAGATAAATGACTATGAAGAAAAGAAAAACATGTGTAATAAATGTACTGAAAATAATTGTGCTTTTGTTTTTTCATTAATCGCTATTCGAGCACTGTAAGGTAAAAAGAGTCAGTGCACGAAATTTTCTTCGTAGTTTCACTATTTCTCATCCATTTTTTACTGAACAAATTCAATATTAACCACATTGGTAGAGACGATAATTATGCACGCACTACTAAAATACAGGGCCAATGGGCATTTTTTGAATAACTTTTGATAGAAATGAGATAGAGACCTGCGATTTCCGCTGCGATTTTTTTGCATGCGTAGATAGTCCGGACGTTACTCTACAAAATTATGCAAGTCCCGGCTCTCCAGCTACCGTCCTTCGGGCAGGGCTCGCTTTCCCCGAGCACGTGTCTATCTCCGAGCAGACATCTCTGGGAATCTCAAAATGCCATGGACTATAGGTAATCGACTGCGCTGAGCATAGTGGCAACATTTGTTTTTGTGTACAAATGAATATAACTTCGCCCGAGGCATTGTTGTGAAAAACCGGTTTTTTGCCTGTTACTAGCAAAAATTAAAATCCTTATATCTCGATCAAGTCTCATGCTGACTCAAGGAAATTTTCAGCAAACGCTCAGGACAGCTCATAAAGCATAATCGAAGACGAAAAAGGTGAATGGGCATTGACTTAAGGTTTTCCAGAAACCTTCTGAAAAACCTCAGAGCATCAGTTTTCTGCTGGACCACTTTTTCAGTGTAGTCAACAACATATGGCACCTTTTAAGCCTTTCCAAAATCGATTTTAATACTACTATGAGTGTAAAAGTTGTTAATAATACTGTCATGAAATCGCTAAAAAGAGAAATTTTATGATAAACTGAAATTCTAGGTAATTTTGGCTATGTTCTAGTCGTAATCCAATCCATATTTTGAATTAACAACAAGTAAATTAAATAACATGTTCACGCCTTATTATGTAATACATTCCTGGGAATAGAACCGAAAAAGAATGAAGTTTCTACCATGAAAAATAGCCGAGATATTTAGAAAACTTCATCTTTTAAACTTAACAGATGTGAAGATCAAAATCATATGGTTCGATAGAGGAAGAATAGGGCTTCACAATGATATAATGTTTAACTAATTAGCATCCATCATTAATAAGCTATGATGCTTTTAAAAAACCTTCATGTATTTGAATGGATGGACTCTTTTTATCCCATCGACATAAGTGAGCTGACTCTTTTTACCTCGTGTGGGATAAAAAGAGTCAATAAAAACCACTCGACTCTCATTTAAATATATCTAAAAAGCCAGCATGAATTTTTAGGAAATTTTTGCAATAGTGCGTGCATAATTATCGTCTCTACAATTTGGTTAATATCGAATTTGTTCAGTTAAAAATGGATGAGAAATAGTGGAACTACGAAGAAAATTTCGTGCACTGACTCTGTTTATTCCACAGTACTCTATCGACTTTAGATGTGCAATAGATAAAGTGAATCACAAAAAATTTTACCATATCATTGCAAAAAACATTTACTATCAGTGATTTTTGTCAATATTGATCGAAATAAAGCGGTCACCTCGTTGAACTAAAGACAGAGTCATATAATTTATTTTGTAAGAAAGAAAAAGATGAATTTGTTCGCAGTTCGCTTAGGTTATTTTTTATGTTTCTTACAATCTCATCTCTTTATTTCTGATTAAGAAGTGAATTTTTCAAGATAAATGAACAGATGTTTTCATGTTGTTAACAACTATTTTTATAGGCGTAAATTGTTTGACGCAGTCATAAAAAACGTTCTATCACATGATCTGAATAACCTATAAGATAGAATGATGAATAAATTTAATTAATTATGTCAAATAATACGTCTATTTTTTAATTTTGCTAATCGAACTGTTCGAAACAGTTTTACTTCTCTATGGAAAAAGAAGAAAAGAAAACACCAAATGGAGAAATTTTCTGAATTATATTGCCTTTCTAAACATGTTTTAATAAAAAATCTAACAGTTTTTCAAAGAAAGCATTTCTTTTCACCAACTTTAACGTAAGAGGTGTAACAACAATTATATAGAAAAAAGATTTTATTGTCAATCTTTATTTTAAAAAAAGTCTTTCACTATGTTTCGAGGGAACATAGTGTTTCATCTGGTAAATACACACGGGTGATCAAAATTACACGAGTGTTTCAATATCATACCTGATATAAATAGCTATATCACTTCGTCACGTATATGAAGATAGTTGAAAAAAAGTAGACCTGGAAATCGAAATTTTAGAATTAATTATGGCCAAAGATAGACATCTCCGTTAAAAACAATAGACACTTGAACGACGTTAAATAACATAAAATTTTTAATGATCAAAATGGATTTGTTCTTATTTCTCAAAACGTTTTCATTTAGAAAGGAACTGAATAACTTGAGTTGCTTTCAGGATGAAACTAATACATAAGGCTAGAGATTGACAGTGACCGATTTTTAAATTTTACCCTAGTTTTCAATAAGGAGAAGAATTTGAGGAAAATACATGAACAAATTGAATCGATCCATACTTTGATCATGTTCAAATTACATCGTAATTAATTTTTGTAATATGTTTGGTGTTACGCAATAATTACGGTGCAAAAAGTAGAAGAATTTATCGTAATTTTTCTATGGAAGCCATTTCTGAGAGCTTTTTACCACTGACTTCAATTATTCATCACTCTTCCATTCGACAAACAAAACAAAAAAACGAAGAAAACTATCAAAAATGTGTGTTAATCTATCATAAAACTCTAGAAAAATCACTTCAAAAATCATCCTAAAAACTGTTTTATCACTAGCAAAAAATGTGTAATTCCGTAAAATTTCAATTTTCAATAGTCTAAAAAGAATGGCAATATGATAGGGATAACTACTTCGATGTATTTTGGAAAGAAATAGTGACCTAAACTTGTAAGGTGTTTATATGGACAATAATGTCAACTCTAGAGCGGACTATAAAAAAAGGCAAAGCCTTTTGGGTATATAAACCTATGCTTATTCTTTTGCACTACTTGAACAATTCTTTGAAGCTTATTGTGGTATAATAACCGAATTTGCTGGTGAAAATGAGTATTTTAAAAAGTTTTTGACGCGTTTAAACCCGTCAATTGAAAATTTATCATTACCACAATTTATCATTTCTCCTAGACAAAGTCGAACTTTTTTAACGCGTTGAATACGTTTGTAGTTCCAACGCGTGTACTTTTACGAGTTTCGCATTTAAAATAGTGATTTTTGACGCATTTGCACATTTTTTCAACGCATCGTAGGCAGTTTTAAATGTTTTTTTCGAAAAATGAATCCGTTGGAACCACAAACGTTCTCAGCGCGTTAAAAAACTTCGACGTTGTCTAGGGGAAAAACACGCGGTAATGATAAATTTTTCAATTGACGTTTAAACGCGTGCAAAACTTGTGCAAATTTTATTTTATACATTTTAATGTTGAGAATACATAAACCCTTAAAGTTTTGTTCATAAAACAATAAATAATAGGATTGATAGCGTGTGTACACAAATATGAATAATAGATCAACAATGGTGAACTAATAATTTGTTCAGCATTTAATACCGATGGTAGATAAAATAGAATAAACGATAATGTTATTATTAAAAATGTTGATGTTATACGAAAGAGTTTAAGACGATGTTTATGTAACTGACGTTTTAGAACTTTACTATTTCGACTTGTTGGTGGATTATTATCTATAGATATTAAGTTTTTATTTCTTGCATTTGAAGTCAATGGAAATGTAACATGTACTTGTTGAAAAGATCTAACACTAGAAAAGAGTTCATCCGCATCTAATAATGAAACTGTCGTAGATTTAGCACATTGTTTGTCGATTTTAAATGAAACATTTTTTTTCTGTTGTAGTTTATTATTTGATGTGTTCTGTTCCTTCAATAATAATAATTCAGAATGTAACAATTGTTGAGAACATGATGTTGATAATGATCCTCTATCGTAACGATCTAATACATTAATACACTTTTTTATTGCTTTTAAACGTGTTGTATGCCTTCTTAATGCCAAAATGTACGTTATTGTATATAACACTGCTACAAGTCCAATACAAACAAAAAATAATTTATTCGATATATGTTTCAATATTTCACGTATATCATCTGATATTACAGTTGTATCAGCATAACATCGAGAATAATTTTCAGTTAGGTTTAAGAAATATGTACTAAAATTTGTTTTTACCATAGTGATTGATTCAGACCATGGTTGAGATGAAAATGATAGAGTTATTATACTGCCGAAAATGAGTGCAACTAACGTAATCAATATTAATATTGTTTTAACTAGACGTGGAGTCCAACGAGTATAATTAATTATAATAAAAAGTCGATCAAATGCAATTGCAGTTATGATGAGTGATGATATGATAATAATTATTTTTGAAAATATATAAAAACGACATAATAATGTGTTTGTATCAAAATCATTATATTCCATAATGGCAATACATGGCGTAACAATTGCACATGTCCATAAATCAACGCCAGCAAGAAAAATAATAAATATCGTCGATGTTGATGAAACAGATAGATTTACATAAGAAAATAAAATTGTGCAATTTCCAATTGTACCCGATATACTGATGATAACAAAATAAAATATCAAAACAATTTCGGAAAAAATCATATCAACATTTCAGTACAAACAGCACTTTAAAAAAAGCATAATGCGAGAGACAGGAAAAAATTCACACGTTTTAAAAAGCTTTTTTCACAACTAAGTGAGTACGTATTCGATAAAATTGATATTGAAACTTTTTTCTCTTAATTTGGTCTAAAAATATAATATGTTCTCTCATAAATACATTACACATGATAAAGTACTGCTAGAAATTCTGCTTGTGAACAAAATGTTCTTTCCTTTTTTCTTTTCTGCATAATCAAGTCAATTCATCGGCAATAAAAATATTTTAATGAACAACATCTACATGAAAACTCATCAGTGTTAACATATAATAGTAGAAAAAATGAAAACCAATTAGAAGCTATTGGATGTAATCAGTGATCTGCTTTCGTGCGATTCACTAACTCTAGTTTCCGTCCGAATATGACTCAGAGAGATTTTAATGAGTTTTTGGAAGATCTGTATCCTGAATCATTGCTGAAATATTAGAATTTTAGCCAAAAAATGGAAATAATAAGGGACATCAACTCACATTTTTTATTATTCTATATGTAAAATGATATACTAATTATTTTTGGTTCTTTAAGTTTTCTTATTTTTCATTTTCATTTTTTCCATTGTTTGTTATGTGAAACTACAAAAACCTTAAAAATTCCTTTGGTCCCGTTCTCTTCGAATATACATGCTGAAAAAATAAATGCTGAGAATATGTTATCGATGGTAAGGAACATGAGCATTGTTTCATAATCGGTGAAAAAAAAAATGGTGCGGGCCATAAATAATTATAGTGTTAGTATTTTGAAATTTTCTCCTCTTCATTAGAATTAATCGAGCAAAACTTTTTATTAAAAGATAGCGCGTTCAATTCTCCACCAAATATGTATTGACTGTTTTGTTGCAAAATCCGAAGGTGAAAATGAGATGAGAAATCCTATAAAGTACAAAAATTCAAAGAAAATAACGTATTTTCTCATAGAGAGCCACATATTTTCAAATGGTGTCCCAAGCATCAGAGCGCGGTTTGAGTATACTTTGTGTAGTTTCGAGTGCGCTCTCGCTCATGGCGTTCAACAAAATTAGTTTTCAGCGAAAATATCATAGGCAGCGGTTGGCTTATCGGCAACAAACCGAAAAGAGCAAATGATTTCGACCTTATTTATGCGTGATAACAAACGAAGTACTTTTTTCAAATCTTACTGACGCGAAAATATAAATTAATCATTGTCCTTTGAAGTCAAGCAAAATTCTATCTGAAGGGATGAAGTTTGACTAAACTACACTTGTTTTATCGAAGGACGCAAAATCCTACTTGGAGAGATTTGCGTGATTTTTAACAAACGCGACCTTTTCTTTTCAACAATAAATGTCTCGTGTACTCAGACATGCCAAGCATCCGATACAGCTTATCTTACCGATTATGAAAGGATGCTCATGTTCCTTACCATCGATAACATATTCTCAGCATTTATTTTTTCAGCATGTATATTCGAAGAGAACGGGACCAAAGGAATTTTTAAGGTTTTTGTAGTTTCACATAACAAAC